GACTGTTGGTCCTCGATATAGGCAACCCACTTCACTGCAAAGTATTCTGAACGTCAGGCTGCAGTAGCAGTTCTGACTTCTTTTACTTATTAATGATTCGGCATTCAAAATCAGGATTTAAAATATTAATAATCAAGAAATAAAAACGTTTTTAAATTGGGGGTTGGAAGTGCAAATCGATGTTCTTTAAAAATTTTTGTGGCAAAATCAGCAAAACCTAATGGAGCTATAAACGCCAAACAGGTCTTTTGAATTTTAGGAAATGAATGTTTGTGGGACCTCGTTTACTATTTTTAATTAATACTGTTACTTACCAGTTCATTGTCATAAATCTTTCCTTCTGCTACAGCACACTTTCTTAGTTCCCAACGGTAAAAGGCACCTTCACACCTTCCTCAAACTTCGGGTATTACCACTTTCCAGAGTGCAAGAGCACTGATACAACCAATGTTTTGTAACATATGGAATCTGGAGTTTTTATGTTCCTGTAAAATAAAATATGAATGTTTTCAGATATTACTGATATAAAAAAAACGTACATAATACAATAATAAAGTAACGCTAAACCTTTTCTCTATTAATAATAACAAATAAATATAGTGTATATGACTTTACACTATTCACATGCCTGTTTATATATAAAAACGTCATTATCATTTACAACAATCTTACCTAAATTGTAATATCCTTGCAGTCCTATGATAAACTGCAACCCTCGTTAATGACCTATGTGGACCAGTTCTACCTAACATCATCAAGAGGCATTATGAAAAAAATCATATTTTGACCTCTTGATTGTGGAGAGCACTCATGACAATTGACAATTCATTGTCACAAATGAACAAGTAATCTTTTTGCGGTGGAAAAGAAAAGGCACTTTTACAATTCTTTGAGGTACTGCTACTTTCTGGAGAGAACTACAATCATTGCTTCATAACGAACGGCATCTACAGTTTATGTAAAATCCTGCGAAAGAATTGGCTAAATTAAAGACTGCAACTGTAAGCCATATTTTAGAAATATCATGTATAGAAATATGGTTAATAATTTTGGTTCTTTAGTATTCAATTCTATTTAATATTAATATTATGTATTACAGTAATTTCTAACTGGTCAACGATTATAAAGAAAATTGAACAATTTTCAAATGTTAAATCTTTAGTCTACATAGCAAAGAAAGTGATGTTCTGCAACACAGTGGATTTGATTACTCAAGAACTCAAATGAAAATTTCATAGATTTTAATGTACCAAAATGTTAACAGTAACATTAAAAATCACATAGATTTTTAGTAGAGCAAAAAAGGAGCCAAACTTAATATTTAACAGCACACAAATATACTTTTGATACTGAACCACAATTAATTTATTCCAATGTGTACATGATGAATATAAAAAGAGTCAATGAATGACCTCAAACATACATTGGGAACTGCTTTTCTTTTTTTTATAAACAACCTTTTTATAATAACTGAAAGTATTTTGAAATAAAATTAGTATCATTAGACAAAATAATTACCGTTTTGCCAAGCTTTTTCATTCCATCTAATGAATTAACAGTTTTTCATTTATCTTTGCTGTTTCACTTCCAGTGAATAAAAGGGTACTGCTCCCAACCAGGATGAAATGCAGACTGCTACAATGATAGCCCAACTATACATGATGTCCAAACATTGTGTAATATTCCTATTAAACAAAATTTATGTATATAATTAACTTAATCTCGATAGAAAATAATGTGGTAACAGAACATTAAAACGTAATGCATAAATGGGTTTATTCATGCTGATCTCGATATACAATAGTCAAATAGAAAATTTTGCTAGCTAACCAGTTAATATTTCTTAACTATAATTCCAAACTTTAAATAATTTCAAACACACACGTGAACGACGAATCATAAATAATATGATCACTAACAACCGTAAACAAACCACAAATTAAATTAAAAAGTTATGTAGTTATGTGGTTATGTACTTTAATTTATGACGAGAATGTAGCTACATTCCACGCACGCATATTAGTAACACCAATGAAATGTAACATAGATAAAATAAAATTTAACTATTATTTGCAATAAATAATTAAAAGATAAATTTTGTTTACCTTCAGTACGAATGACACACGATGACAGGGACGTGTGGCGTTCGTTTAATTTTGATAGCTTTAAAATTTTCGAATGAGTGGACTTTGAATTTATTCCAGCAGTACCAAATTTTTTATTAAACATTTGAGCTAATTCTTGACATAATTGTAGTTGTTGAATTTGATCTTCTCCTACAGGCACATGTGTTGCTCTGCAAGTTAATTGTTATTTCGCAGTAATTAATTTATTTAATCATGTGAGNAAGATAAATTTCGCTTAACATAATAGCTCAGTTTTCAAACATGAATGACGCGCAATCGATTAAATTATGATAGCTTCAATAATTTACGAATAAATGAACAGGAACTTCTCAGCACACAAAACGATTTGTTTAAACAAAACTAGTTGACACACAATCATGTTACGTACATATTTAGAACCCGCAAACAACGCAAAAATTATTGGTAATGTTAAAACTAACAAATTATTTATATGAGGTGCCAGTTCACTTAACTATCGTCAGTCAGAGCTTCTATAGACCATATACAATAAAGTTCTATGATTTCAAATATCCAATCACTAATCAAAAATATTTGTTTAGTTCAGGGTCACACTTGTCAAAAGTGAGGAAAATAGTTAATCAGCTAGAATTTTTAAAACTGATAGTTCTTGATGCCGATTGATATGAATTTATCTATATTTTGTAAATTACAAAATGATTTATCTAATATTTGAAAATATTTAAAATGTTAACATTACGGATATTTTTTCCAAGTAGTTTTTACTTTTATCTGGTCTATAATTATAATAAATTGTAACTAAGTGTAAACTGGAAAGTACATCCTTACCATACTACATTTAACGTGGAATAATTAAACAAGTTATGCAGTCTTCTCAAACATCGTCTCAAGAGTTTGCCACTCAATCTCCAACTATTAAAACTGTAAAGGATGAGAAAAAAGGCGGCCGTACTATTTTACAAATTGTTCCAAAGTTGCCATCAACAGATTCTCTAAGCAATAGTCCTGGACCAGTTAGTCCTGGTAAATAAGTGTTCTTTATTGTCAAAATATTCTTATCAATATTTTTTAGCTATAAACGATTCGTTAATTCTGTTTTTTTGTTAGGTTCTCACAGCTTTCAAGACCGTTCAGAAGGCACATTCACTGAAAAGGCAAGAAATTATTATTCTGTCAAAGTTTTCAATTTAAATAAGAACTGTTGGCAGGTTTCAGATCCAAAATTAACAAGAAAGGAATCGTACAAGGCACAAAGAAAAAATTATCGTAAAGAAAAAAAAAGGGTTGCAAATGAATTACTTAATTCTTTAAAAGATCCATCTGTTGTGGTTCTTGCTGATTGGTTGAAGATAAGAGGAACTTTAAAATCGTGGACTAAGTTGTGGTGTGTTTTAAAACCAGGATTATTATTATTGTATAAAAGTCCTAAATGCAAAGTAAGAAAATGTCTTAAATCTGATAAGTAGATTTTTTTATTTAGCATTGTATTATCTTGACTGTTATTATAATTTAAGAGTAGCCATTGGGTAGGAACAATTCTCTTGAATTCATGCAAGGTTATTGAAAGGCCAAGTAAGAAGGATGGATTTTGTTTTAAATTATACAATCCATTGGATCAGTCGATTTGGGCACCCAGAGGTCCAGAGAATGAAGCAAAAGGTTAACATCCACTCTCATTATTTTACTATATATATATGTATACATATATAATATGTAAGGGTTTTGTCACATAGGAGCTGTTTTTCAACCTCTGCCTACTTCATATTCAATATTTCGTGCATCATCTCAAGCTTCTGGTATGTGCTGGTTAGATGCTTTAGAGTTGTGCTTAAGAAACGATTCAGCTTTGATCCGTTCCATAAGTACAAAATCCTCAGGGGACAGTACTAGTCATGAAACCCAGTGGTCAGAGGCTGACTATGAGAAGCATTTCATCCATGGTACTTTTTTAATAATTATATGTATTCTGAACAAAAACAAATTTCATTTACTTGCTTCAGATTTGAGTGATGCTAGTCAACCAGAGAATGGGGCTCATTTAAGCACCGGCGAAGTCGACTTAACAGAATCGGAGTCTGAAGTGTCTGCTAAAGAGGAAGAAATTGATGAAGAACCGCAACAAACGCCATATATTCCCAATGCAGAAGAAGAATTTGGAGCAGTAAGTTTCCTTTAATTTTTCAGTTAATATTTGCATTTAATTTTTATTATAAAGGCTGGTGAGCAAATTGAAGAATTAGCTGAAGAACATAAATCTCTTATATGGTATTTAGTTAAACAAGTTCGACCCGGCATGGATTTGAGTAAGGTCGTTTTGCCCACTTTTATACTGGAACCTCGTTCTTTTTTGGACAAACTTGGAGATGCTTATTATCATGCTGATATTATTTCTAAGTACTTAACTGTATAATTAAAAACTTTTATTATAAAAAGATACTTTCAGGGCGGTTGTCGAAGATGATGCATTTACTAGAATGAAAATTATTACAAAATGGTATCTATCTGGGTTTTACAAGAAGCCTAAAGGCCTTAAAAAACCATACAATCCAATACTTGGAGAAACATTTCGTTGTTATTGGAAGCATCCGAGCGGTTCTAAAACGTTTTATATCGCTGAACAAGTTTCTCATCATCCACCAGTTAGTAAAATTTTGTAATTACCATTTTTTTTTAAATATGTAATAACTCATGAAGTTTTAAAATAACCATACCTTTTTTTATCTTGATTTCCTTCTTTGTCCAACAGGTTTCAGCATTTTACGTTACCAACAGACAAGAAGGTTTTTCTATTAGTGCTTCTATATTGGCAAAGTCTAAGTTTTATGGAAATTCTACTTCTGCCATTTTAGATGGTATTGCGGTTCTAACTCTATTGCCAAGGGGAGAAGACTATACTTTAACCATTCCATACGTTCACTGTAAAGGGATATTGATGGGAACGCTTTGCATGGAACTGGGAGGAAAAGTGTATATTCATTGTGAGAAAACAGGATACAAGACGGAGCTGGAATTTAAACTGAGGGTTAGTTAAATGTAGTATCAAAATGCATAATTAAAATAAATATTATACATATCAAACTTGGTTTAGCCGTTTCTTGGTGGAGCAGAGCAAACAAATTGCGTATCAGGTCGAATAAAACTGGGAAAAGAAACTTTAGCTACAATAGATGGTTACTGGGACGGTGTTACTCAGATAAAGGACAAAAGATCAGGGGTAGAATATTTCATGCTTGTTGTTTTTCTTCTTATATAAATAAATCTTTCTGTAATTTCAAAAAGGAAGAGCAAGTTCTGTGGAATCCGACTGCAAACGTGAGAAAAAGTAGATTGAAAAGGTACACAGTTCCTCTTGAACATCAAGGGGAAATGGAATCTGAAAGGTTGTGGCAACATGTATCTTCTGCAATCCTAAGAGATGATATGAACACCGCAACAGAAGAAAAAACTGTCCTTGAAGAAGCACAAAGAGGTTGTTTAGTTTAAAATCTTTTTAACTCATTCTTTTTTTAAATATATATATA